CATTGAAATCGGTTGACGTGGTGAAGTACCTGTAAACATAACATGGGCGAATAATACCACCATATAACATAATATGTGCTCAAATTATGTCATGCAAATGCAAATTGAATGAATTGAATTGATCTTGACTAATGTGGCCACGCCTGAAAAACACAACTTTTAACAAAAATCAACGGATAACATGAAAAAGAATCATCTCTAAATATACCGCAGACCGGTTAATGAAATTTTAGTAGATTTAAGACCTTGCCATGAATGTTTATCCGTGATTGCCATGCTGCAATGTATCATGTCTGCAGCACAAATACGTCGGCTCAACCGGGGAAAGACAGTGCTCGCATAGCTGTGTTTCGTAAGGTAAGATTAGTGGTGGCAACTGATCTACGTTTTGACTGAAGATTCTTGTAGATTTTATAATTGTTATATAGTTAGACCTTTTTGAAAGATAATTAGGTGTCTATGGCCCACAGCCTTCACTAACCATCAGGTGTACTGTGTGCTCGTTTTTCACCTTAATATATATAAAAAAGTCTAAACTCTTCAGTCGGTCTTCCGTCTAACAGCACCACCAAAAAACGACTTAGGGTTGTCGTCGTAGTTTCGTCCATCACCAGATAAAGTTGTTATTACCGCCCTACACTCGAGTTTTGTTAATTAAAAGAAATCATCTAATAGCCTTCGCAGAGAGTAATGCACTCGCGCATGCAGACGCGGGCGTGCAGTCAGAGGTTGACGGCCGAGATCGAACCCACGCCCGCAAATAGCGCATTCCCGTGATGCGCCCGCACATTCGCAGACACAAATAGTCCTGTCTCCCAGCGTCTGAAAAAGATATAATTATAGCATACACTAGTACTTAACTGTTTATGTAAAACAATTATACGTATGGGTTAGTTATTTAACTAGTTTTCATTTACAAAAATGCAACAAAAATGGCGGCGCAGCGTAAGACAACCTGTCACTCAATAGTACTCACTCGCCCCTGATTGTAGCAAAAGGTGGATATGTGACATGCCAGAAAGATAACATGTTTTGCGATATAGCGGTATATCCATCTGTTTATTCTGAATGTAGAATACCCAAACTGGTGAAAGGATTATTTCTACCACCAAATAAGATTGAAGAGTATAGAGCCGGTATAATTACAGTGTGAGAGGCATTCCATCTTGGTTTCCAGCAACAACAACACGTCTATAGCCTTATATAAAGTTATAAGTAGTATAGTTTATAAAGTTGTTCTATAAAGAGTGGCAGGATTATTTGACTTCATCATCTTTATCATTATTACAGTCCTTCACAAGTCCACTGCTGAACATAGGATTCCCCCAAGGAACGCCACAAAGCACGGTCCCGAGCCGCAGGTGGCAGGAGGATGGATTCTCTAACACGGCCAGTATATCATAGATAACATAGTGTATAGAACAAGATAATATCCTTGTGACATATACGCGCAAAGCAACAATTAACACTGGACTAAAATTTGTGACGGCTTAAACAGGCTGTAACCGATATCATAATTCATTCATCATCATTACAGCCATTCACAAGTTCACTGCTGAACATAGGCCTCCCCGAAGGAATGCCATAGAGCACGGTCCTAAGCCACCTGCATCCATCGACTTCCTGCATGTTTTACTAGGTTCTAATTCCATCTAGTGGGGGTCGCTTTACACTTCGCTTGCCGGTACGAAGCCAATCGAAAAAACTAAAACCTCGTCACCCTTCTGCGCTGCCTCCTTTTCCCGCCATTGGATCCTAGCGTAAAGATTTACTAACATATAAGTACCCGCAAATGTTATAAGTTGCTAAATTGAAACCTGCATGAAATAAACTTTCGATTCACAGATAAAGATAATTTACTTCTAAGGTACGTGCGGGTATTAAGGTCACTTTAAGCTTTGCCGCCCTATAAAACAAAACTAGGATGAAAACAAAGACAAAAATAGTCGTGTATAATTAATATATTAATAAGAAAATAGCAAGCAAGCTTTAGCAATAATTAGGAACCCGAAAAATAACTAAAAACACAATACTAAAAACTGTCAAAATTTAGTTACTTTTAGTATTTGATTAAGGCACTGATAAAGGACTATCGTACTCGTATCACAAAGCCACCTATGCTAACAAGACTGTAGTTTTTGAGTTATAAGAAAATGACCATACTAACCGGATGACCATATTACCCACACGTACTATATTCGCTGTTGATGGAAATGACTGATTTGTTTGGTCAACACATATTAACGAACTACAACATTCACATTATGGGGAGAAAATGACCTTAATCATCACGCTTTTATCGGTCGCAGTACAAGATGTATCGCATCTTTGACGCTATATCCCATCGTGGTCCAGGTATTTTTGGTACTGTATTTTATGTCTAGTATATCAAAAGTCGAAAGGCTACCGCTACTGCCTCACCGCAAACGACCGTTTTACGAAATGACCTGAGATAGTACCAATAGCCGACATTACATGGTTGTTCTGAAGAAATGGTAACAGACCGAGGACGACAATTCGAGTCGGCCCTGTTTCAATATCTTTCAAAAACTGCTGGATTTCAACCCAAGCGCATTACAGCTTATCACCCCGCGCCCAATGGAATAGTCGAACGATTTCACCGACAGTTGCAAGCCGCAATTATATGTTATAATGACAGCGCTTGGACTGAATCACATGTACAAAGATTGACTGCTGCTCGGTGGGATTAAATCCCCGATCGAGCCAAAATGAGTTATTTGGTTTTTCTGTCAAGAAATTCTCAGCAGCTGCCCCGAGTCAGGAAGTGGGCGGTGTTTCAACTCCGTGCCTCGGAAAGCACATGAAGCCGTTGGTCCTGCGCCAGATCTCTCTCAGGTCATGTCGGATTTCCGTCCCATCGGACTATGAGAGTGAGGAAACAGATAGCGCACCTGTGTTTGCGCTCACACTCGTGCACTATAATTCTGTCCTGTGCAGATGGCTGGTCTACGTTGAGACTGGCCGCCTTGACCGAAAATCGATCTGGGTGACATTTACATGAAATGGAATATCAAGCAAGGGCCATAAGTTTTTAAATGTTTTTATTTACATCCGTACAAATTTAGACGGTACTGGGCACAGACGAGGCCAGTCACTTGACTCTTGTCTTGGCCGCTGTCCAGTGCCAAGCGTTATTTGCACGATGCTCCTCTGTCGGCCGAGTTGTGTAATAGAAAACAGTTTTTATTTTTATTGGCGCCTGTTCCACTTCACAACAAAGTTTCATATAAATCTTGCGTGCGTAGTATTCCGTAATAAACAACTTATATTTATAATGGGAATGACACTTGTTACTACACTTCTTCAGAATATTATATAATTATGGCTATCGTTAATTCATTATCTGTTATAGAAAGGAAGCAATAAAATCCTTCCGTCCAACTCCTACGGTTATAATAATTCAGCAACGACAAATATTTAAAATTCATTGAATTTAGATCTTTATTTTCAAGAGCCCGTAACTGTCCAGTCCTGCTAGACATGATGGCCCTCCCGTGGAGACTGGCCTTTGACTGCAGTTGGTTGGAGACTGGCATTGGCATAGATTAGAGAATATTCATACGTGGTAGAGCCACGCTGCAGTTATATTAGTAGTATAGTTGTGACTGCCTCGTTGGTCTAGTGGTGGCAGTAATGCAACTGCTGATCATGAGGTCCTGGGTTCGAATCCCGGGTCGGGCCAAAAAATCAATTATTGGGTTTTCTGTGAAGAAATTCTCAGTAGCTGTCCGGAGTCAGGAAGTTGGCGGTGTCACGTGCCTCGGAAAGCACGTAAAAGCCGTTGGTCCTGCGCCTGATCTCTCTCCGGTCGTGTCGGTTTACCGTCCCATCGGATTATGAGAGTGAGGGGATTGTGAGTGCACCTGCACTTGCGCATTCACTTGGGCACTATAATCCTGTCCTACGCTAATGGCTAGTCTCCGTTGAGGCAGGCCACCGTGGCCGAAATTCGGACTGGAGGACATTATTATTATTATAGTTGTAGCACGTATGGGTCGACTCGACCGGGGAAGCTCTCACCATGCTCATCCATGCTCTCACAGAATACCGGCGTGGAATAGTGGCTGCTATGTTTCGTATGGTGAGTGTAGACAACCGGAAACTCTTTTTACTGGAAACGAGGCATTCCATCTTAGTCCTCACGGGTGACAACGCTTCTGCATTTTGATTTGTAATCGAGGATAGATGTAGATGTCTAAAATTGATTAAATAAAACTACTTTTCGAACTTAATTTTATTCATTCCTCCGTGACTATGGGTGGAAAACACCCGAGACATCGGGAATTAAAAATATTTATTCAATGTTTAGTGTCCGCGTACTTATTGGGTGCTTTTCTGATTTCATCGGGCAAGGAGATTCCGCGTAGGCGTGTGTAGCCTGAACAATTATTGTGAGTTAATGCGGGAGACTTTCGCTTCTTTTTGGTTTAAAGATCTTATACAATAATAACAAATTTCCATTATTGCTCCGTTGGACAGCACCCAACTATTGAAATCGTAATCACTAATCAGCTAATTGCTGTTACTATGTAACTGTAGTAAGAAAATTGTTTGGCATAAAGAAAAATAAATCTTAAAAAAACTACATTTTTAGAATGCGCATTCAACATTTTTTTTATAATAAATGTTATCGGTGTAAAACAAGATGGCGCCTTAACCAAATATATCAACTATTTTTTAAATGACAATATTTATGGTATGTTTTTTTTCTATTATTTTATGCCTTATCTTACATGAAGCTTTATTAGTTTTTTTTTTTTTTGTTAATATTTAACACTTTTCAAACACAATAATAAGACAATAGCAATGAAATGTAGACGTACATGTAGTACACGGGATGGGTTAAATGTAAATTAGTTCAATGGGGTTAAATCACTATTTTCAACTTCTCGTGATTTTAACAACGTTGCTATTTTCACAGAGAAAAATACTACAACAAATCAAGCAATCAAGAAAATGATAACGAAAATCAAGATATGATGCCGATTGAACGGCTGATAATGAAAAGTCAAGAAGTTGTAGAAACATGTTCGTTATTCAATGACGTTGACACGTCATCATTATCCGGAACCCCTGATGAAAATGATACTAATGAAATAAAGACAGATTCAAATCATTCTAACCCTGAAGCATCCGATGCGAAGGAACCTGAACCGATACAGACAGTTTCAGAATATAAACAAGCCGTTGAATCGAATCAAGAATTTCTTCATGAGGAAATTCCCGACGTGTCACCGGAGTATTACGAAAATGAAGAATAAAAGTAAAAAACTAGAACTATTTGTTATTTATGTTTTTTATACTTTTAATACTTATTTGTAGACTGACATTTGTTAGTATTATACTATTTTTAATTTTAAATAAATCACATTACCTATTTCATTTATACATATTTAATATTATGTCATGTATCATGGTGTGCTAACGAAAACAAGAGTGTTTCACATACGATAGCCCAACGGATCAGTAAGCTGAAGGTAGCTAGAATAACTGACTCGATGGATGCAGGTGGCTCCGGACCATGCTTTGTTACAACCTATGGGAGAACCCTTGCATAACAGTGGATTTGAGCTACAATGATCCATTTAGAGATATGAATGAAACTGTAGTTGGAGAAAACTTTTGTGTAGTTTTAGAATTATCAACTTTGAAATGGTTTTCCTGTTCGTACGTTCGAATCTACTATAAAAATTACTTTAATATTAATATTTTATATATTATATTTTAATTAGGGGACTCTTGCCATAATTGCGACGCTTGAAAAGCTGGGAAAGGGTTATTATCAGAAAGATGATGTTGTCCATCCCAGTGTCATTTCCCTCGGTCACTTCACACCCAAGGATAGTAGATTCTCGTATGTCGTTAATACGCGGCAAAACTCTTCAAGAGTTCAAATATATATATATATATATATATATATATATATATATATATATATATATATATATATATATATACATATATATTACGTAATATATCTTTATATAGATCTTATGTCTATATATAGATATATATCTTTTATTCACAATGCTGTATTAGTCCCTACTTTTAACGTATGGTAGTAAAAGTTGGGTGTAGCAGAAGAAGCACGAGAGTAGAATAAATGCAGTAGAAATGCGGTCGCTAAGGAGTATGTTAGGACTGAATCTGAGTGACAGGGTGAGAAACTGTGTGACAAAAGAAGAGTGTGGTTTGCAAGATGATGCAGTGAACAGAATCAAGAAAGGAATGCTGCGGTGGTTTGGTCATGTAGAAAAAATGAATGAGGAAAGACTGACAAAGCAAATGTATGTTGCAGAAGTGAATGGAAGAGTCGGAAAGGGACGTCCTAGGCGAAAGTTTGCCGAAATTGGCGATAAATTAAAAATGGGCCAAATTAAGAGTACCCTTAACCGACGAGGGTGTGTGCGTAGGTATATGGATGTGGAAGAGGCGAGAGAGGTATATCAGGATCGTGCTAAATGGAAGTCTGTAGTCTCTGCCTACCCCTCTGGGTGACAGGCGTGAGTGTTTATGTTATGTTATGTTATATGTAATATATCTTTGAAATATCCCATTTTAACTGTGTTAACATCCTCATGTTACAATAAGTAATTTTATTCTTATGCAGAATTTTTTATAGAATAAGGATGACTAACGAGCATACAGTTCACCTCACGGTAAGTGGATACTGTGGTCCATAGACATCTACATTTATCTTTAATTAAAAATAAAAATACAGGTGCGTTGACACCCCTGAGGACTGAGATGGAATGCTCTGTTTCCAGCAAAGAGTCTCCGGTTCTTTACATTCATCATATGAAACACAGCAGCATTAAGGTGCCATTTTACGCTGGTATTCTGTGAAAGCGTGGTCCTACCCCTGTCGAGCCGACCCATTCATGTTGCAACCACAATATAACTGCATGCTAGCTCTACCACGTAAAAAATACTTTTCTTATTCATCATCGAGCAATAACAAACAACCTTCTGCTGGTGATGGATTTCTCCAAAGGCAATTCAGTCCTGGAATCATAAGGAAAGTACGTCGTAATTAGTCAGGTTGTCAGCCAGAACACCAGAATTGTTGCACTATTGTAGCTTTTAATTGATGAATATAGGATCATCTATCAAAGCCCAAAATTTGTCATTTCCCATTAAAGAGCTTTGTACGGGTTGAAATGGGGTGATGTACTTACCACAGTCTTACCAAACTTGCTAGATAAATAGGGTTGTATTACACTAGATATTTAAGGATGTGAAAATAAATTAACTAAGATTCTTATAAAATAAATTGGTGTGTAGTTTTAAGTTCTAAGATTGAAATAATTTTACACGGGATGAGATAACTAATAATTCTTTATTAGTTCAGTAAGGATTTACACACGTAATATTATGGCCTCCCACTATCGTATCCAGTGTAGTTGTCCACTGTGTAGTCATAGTTTTGGTCATGTAGAAAGAATTAATGAGGAAAAAGTGACAAAGCAAATTTATGTTGCAGAAGTTAATGGAAGAGTCGGAAAGGGATTTCTTAGGCGAAAGTTTATCGACCAAATTGGCGATATATTGAAAATGGGCCAAATTAGGAATACCCTTAACCGACGAGCATGTATGCGTAGATGTATAATATATGAACGTAGAGAAGGCGAGAGAGGTGTGTCAGGATTGTGCCAAATGTAAGTTTTTAGTCTCTGCCTACCTCTCTGGGTGACAGGCGTGAGTGTTTATGTATTATATTATGTATCATTTATAGGAAAATTTATAGGTACGCTTTTACTACAAAATCCCAGAAAACTTTCTAAATTTATCAATAAACAAGTTTAAAAGCAGTATTAAAAAAATTGTACAATAAGGGTTGTACTATCATATCTTTATATATATAAATTACGTGTCACGTTGTTTGTCCGCGATGGACTCCTAAATTACTCAACCGATTTTAATCAAATTTGCACACCGTGTGCAGTTTGGTCCAACTTGAGAGATAGGATAGTTGTTTTGCCCATGAGTGACCCACAATTTTTTTTTTGCGAATTTATGGATTTTTAATAGGACATGACAAAGGGTCGTCGAAAAGGGCAGAACAACTTCTGCCTGGCAAGCTAGTAAAAAAAAAAAAATATATATATAATACATGAATGAAAATAAGTCCTGAGAATGAGATGATCGCCACTTCAATGCTGTTTCTATTAAAATTAATTTACTAAAGTGAAAATATATTTAAAAAGAGTCCCGCTAGGTTTCTCGCTTACTTTTTTTGATCCCAGGACAGAGGTATTGTCCGAACCAGTGGTAAATAAACAAATGCTTTCAATAAGTATTATGTAATAATCTATATTTACTAAAAATCATTTCATTCTATTTTATTCTGCAAGTATAAAATCCCATCCAATGTAAATTAGAACCTATTAGTAAACTGCATGAGTGCTAATTTGAAAAAAAAATGGAGTTAAATGCTCATTAGGCTGTAAATTTGACGTTCAGGTAATGCGAGCGTTGGTTTTTCTTCCATTTCTGATATCGTATAGTAGAAGATGAAACGATTCATTTAACCCTAAAATAAAAGTGCAAATATATCTTGGAAAAGTATTATAATATTAATATTACGTAACTTTTGCAAATTTTCCTACATCTTAATGTCGTGCAGTATTATTAGCACAACATATTGGAACTGGTTTGTTTGTTCGCACGTCTGCGTCTAAAGTGTTAAGTTTGAATAGTGTAACCATGGCTTGGAGAAGTATTGTATAAATATACCTAGTGTAAAATACTCTGACGGACGTCGGGCAATAGCGTTAGGTAGCGGCAGTAGGTAAAGTGCAAGACGTCTGGTACTCTGCCAAGCATGAGAATGAATCATTCATCATCATTACAGAGCTTAATAAGTTCACTGCTGAACACAGGCCTCCCCCAAGGAAGCGTTTCTTACCAGGCCGTCACACCATCTAGTGGGGAACCGCCCTACACTTCGCCTAACGGTACGTGGCTGCAACTCGAGAACATTTCTTCCCGTGAGAATTAAGGCAAATCCAAACTGGAGGGGCTAATGTCCATCAATGGAATTTTACGGGCCGTTATATCAGAAAGCAGAATGCCTTTACGTCGCCATTATGGTACAATATTTTCCATTTGACTGCATACAGACTAAATAGACCGAACAAGCGTTTGGCGAACTCAGCTGGAAGTGATAATTCATTTACAAGTATTACGTTTGCCCGCGCATCTCGTGACCTTCGCCGCGGTCAATGCGGTTTATTTTTTATTGATCTACGGCATGGTAATTTCTCTGAACATCCGTTGCATGAAAATCATACAGAACTGGGCCCTAGAAACTCACCTGTTTATAATACAAATCGTCTGATGGTAATTTCGGATAATTTCTTTTATTCACCCATTTTATACAGCAGTACGTTCTACAAATCAGTTGCTCCTGTAATCACAGATGCTTCAAAGCACTTGAAATCGAAACCTAAAAAGCAAAAATGTCGCTCGTAGTGACTAGTGACCCCTTAACACTGACGGCCGATGGCGACTGCTCGAGTTCTCTTTCTTTCTCCGTTCCTCTAAAGACGCCGCTGAATGTGCGAGGTTTTCAATCGGAGTGCCGAGTAAGGTGCATATTGTACTGCCAAATGTATGTTCACCTTTATATAAAAGCCAAAACGTAATACAGTGGTGGGACTTCTATTCAGCCTAAGAATAGATCCAGGTAAGTTCCACAGCTCTTAATTACTTCCGCCGCAAAATAACAGTGTTTGAATTGAAATAATACTAGTTTTTACGAATTTTATCGCGTATATTTAACTATAAATACCCGACGTTTCGAGCGCTTTACGACACCCATGGTCACGGGAGGGACTGAGATGTTCAACGTCCAGATGCCATAGTTAACAGCGGTTACTATAGATTAAAATTTAACTTTTGTTCCGATCTACACAGTATGAACTTATGGTATCTTGAAGTCTTGCAGTTGTATGCTTGGGTCGGGATTTAATTTTATTTATTATAGGATCCCAAGCAGATGGTAGCACCCAGCCATCTTCTCCATTGAAATTACGATGTTTTTTGATTACAATAGCCTCGCGAATCATCCTTGGAAGGAATCGGTGTTCTTTAGCGAGGATTTGTGATCTATCAAATCTGATGTAGTGACGGGGGGGGGGGGGGGGGGGCGATCCTGTACATGTTCACAGACTGCAGACTTCCCGGCGCGTCGATTCTTCACGTCAGCTATATGTAGCGACTGAGATGACGTTGAACATCTCAGTCCCTCCCGTGACCA